TGTTTCCATAAAAATTGCAACTCGCTATCGCTGACTCTTTGGCGATGCTGATTGGTCAGTTGAATCAGTGCGAGGATAGCACTGGAAACGCTGTACTGACAGTGTAGCGCTTGTACAGTATGGAAATCAAGCTTTCGTCTCTTCACACAAATGAAGCAGGTGTGACTGGCAAGAATTTGTCTTTGCATGTTTTGATTATTATGCAATTGTTTGTTGTTATTTTAGTGTATATGTTTATGCATTGGCAGGAAAACGAGATTTATTATCAATGTTGCATGTTGAGGACAGAAAAGTTTTATGATTATGTTATTTAATAAATTTTCTGTGTACTGTAGCTGTCTCTTATACACATCTAGATGTGTATAAGAGACAGTTGGTAAGCTGATCAGTGCAAATGCGTTGTTACACTCTAGGGCCCTGTATTTTGTTCTAAAACCAAATGAACCGATTTGCAATTTAATTCTAGAAGACTAAAATGAAATTATTTGATCATTGATATCATCATTAAAATTCACTATCTTATTTAAAATATCATAACAGATGTTGATGTGTAAGATTAGGACCATTTATTGCATGTTTTCAAATCTGATTGGAAATAAAATAAATTTCTAGGAACATATGTCTAGCCTTGTTTCCATAAAAATTGCAACTCGCTATCGCTGACTCTTTGGCGATGCTGATTGGTCAGTTGAATCAGTGCGAGGATAGCACTGGAAACGCTGTACTGACAGTGTAGCGCTTGTACAGTATGGAAATCAAGCTTTCGTCTCTTCACACAAATGAAGCAGGTGTGACTGGCAAGAATTTGTCTTTGCATGTTTTGATTATTATGCAATTGTTTGTTGTTATTTTAGTGTATATGTTTATGCATTGGCAGGAAAACGAGATTTATTATCAATGTTGCATGTTGAGGACAGAAAAGTTTTATGATTATGTTATTTAATAAATTTTCTGTGTACTGTAGCTGTCTCTTATACACATCTAGATGTGTATAAGAGACAGTTGGTAAGCTGATCAGTGCAAATGCGTTGTTACACTCTAGGGCCCTGTATTTTGTTCTAAAACCAAATGAACCGATTTGCAATTTAATTCTAGAAGACTAAAATGAAATTATTTGATCATTGATATCATCATTAAAATTCACTATCTTATTTAAAATATCATAACAGATGTTGATGTGTAAGATTAGGACCATTTATTGCATGTTTTCAAATCTATTAGTAAGTTTGATTGACACTCTTGAAAGGTCTATTTTTTGCAAGCTCTCTTACCACTCCCTTTGGTCATCGCAATCTATAACTATAATAATCATTGAATCATCAAGAGAGCAGCTTACTGTAGCTCAGTGGTGCAGGCTTTGTTCTAATTTGATGTCTTTCTTTATTCTGTCTTTCAGTCTGATAAGTATGAAGGAAGGGAAAAGTTAGCAAAAACACTTGATCTTAGCGACAACGAGAAGAGCAGAGCAAGGCCCCTGATATGTGAGCTGCTGAAAAAGATTTCCAAAGAGCCAGTGTCAAGGAGCAAAGATGTTACAAGTGTTGAGGTATTTGGTGATTCAAATGTATTATTGTGAATAGTATACAAATATTGACTGCACATGAGGGTAATGGTGAAATCTATTTCCCTGAGGCTTTATCAATAGGTACCAGCAAATTGCTGGGAGTAAGGCCTCTGATAAGATAGGAGTAGCCTGCAGTGGACCAGTGTCCCTCCCAGGGGAAGAATCACACTCTTATCCGCTTCAAGCTACTTAAAACTGGGGATAAGCTCCAGCACATATGAGCGCTGGGGCATGGGGAGATTTACTGTTTTTTACTTGGGAAGTGCAGTTCTAATATTTTTGACAAATTAATGAAGATAACAATATATTTATTATAATTTTAGATTAATAAACAATTTCGCTTAAAATTTGTTCTGCTCAGGCTTACCTGCCATAAGAAATTAATACCACGCAACTTGCATTCTGAATATAAACATAACCAAAATATTCTGACATTTTTTATTTATTTACTTTCTTCAGGAAATTATCCTACCAAAGGTAATCATTACATTCCATTTTGTTTTCAGTTTTGATCAATTTACAAGCATATAATTAGCGGACATATCATTCAAACCTGTTGATTTACATTAGACCACCAACAAATTGTATAGCTTTTTATTTATTTGATTTATATTAGATATTAATCTATTTTTTAGAATGTTTTTCTGTGAATTGGTTTAATAGTTTTCTGCTTGTTTACTAGAATTCATAGCATCAAACTTGTATGTCATCCACAGATTGTGCGTTAGTTGTAGAATTTAAATTTTTGTTACTTTAATGCATATTATAAGATTCATTAATAAACACATTATTTTTGTTACCTATTTAAAATTTTTTTTTTTTTTTTTTTCTATTTTTTTTTTTTTTTTTTTTTTCCATTTGCACTTTTCGTGTTTTAGAGGTGTCCCATCACACCACATTCGGTGAGAACAGTAGCTTTGAGAATGGCACATCACATGCAACACTGCACTTTATAACAGTGGTGTATCTAGAAATATTGAAGTGGGAGCGAGATGGGGGCACAGAGGTTAAGTGGAGGGGCTTGTTCATTAAAGGAGGGGGTGGAACTAGCTGCCAAAAGATAATGTGATTGACGAGGATTTTTTACTTCTTGAGCATAATTTTTTTAGCTCAGCTAATTTCCTATGTAGATGCCTGGGTACGCAAGCTCTTTTTTTAGAGGGGAGTGCGCCCCCACGCTCTGCCATAGATACGTCACCACTGCTTTATACTGTAAACACTGTTTGTCCTTGCTTTACAGCAGCTATGAGAATGAATGAATTTAAAACTAATAATAGGGAGTTTTCCCAAGCTTACGAAAACGATAACACATACGGTTACGTCATCAATTTTTCAGATAATCCTTCCCCTAGAGTAGCATATGTGTCACAGCGTAAGCAATTCATGTCTTTTGCATGGATCAAGGATCCTATTCAGCTTGTACAGTATATTGTCACGAATGCATGAGGCGCGAATGACGATAATGATAATGACGTATTTGTTATTGTTTTCGTAAAGTTGCAAAATCTCCCTAATGAAGCATTAACGTAGCTTAATTTTTCGCTGCTCTGTTGTTTGATGAAAATCCTCTCAAAGTTACGATGTCATGACCAATTTTTTTGTTAAACCAATTTCAATTTTAAATCATTATTGAAGATTATAATTTTTTCAATTTAAATGGCCAATGTGAATTTCAGACATCTTGATAGATTTTATACTTGTGTTGTGCTGACATATTTGATATAGCTTTTCTGATTGGTTGGTGATTACAGCTTTTTCGATTGGATAAAATTAGAAAATAGGAGTTCAGTTGTTAAATAGCTATTTAGAATTTTATTTAAAAATTATGATGGTAAATGTATTAGAATATACAGTATATCAGAATTCATTCAACTTTGAATATTGTGGCCAACACAACAGTGACCAACCATTATTGTTTATTGTTGTATTACAGTGATTAGATGAATAATAAGAATTTTCATTAGTACAGAAATTGAATAAAAAATGAAATATTTCATTTTTTTAATGCACTGATTGTCAATAATATATTTTTTCACTTTTCATTTGAATCATCTTGTGTTCATAGTGTCACATCATGTTATGACATCTTGCAATCTCATGTACAGTAATCCCATGATCTCATCACATAATCACTGATCCCACCATAGGATCTTTTCTTGTGATCTCATATAATCCCATTAGGTGATCTCATGTTTTTGATTTGTATTTTATTTTGTATATTATATCTTTTGCCTGAATACATAATAATAATAATAATAATAATAATAATAATAATAATAATAATAATAATATCCCATGTGATCTATGCTTAATAACTTTGATCTTATTAATTGATCTTATGTGATCATGTATCTCATGTGATTTCATCATGTGATGTCATCATTTGATTTATATAATCCTATCATGTGATGTTATTATATTTCATGTGTTAATCTCGTCATATGATGATAATAATAATAATAATAATAATATAAAAACACCCACCATTATTTAGGGGTGGTACAGTAAAACAAAAAGCAAGTCATTTTTATTTGTGGTTTTTTATGTGAAATAAATATTAATAATCAAGTTTTGACCTTGGCCACACTCATCCCTCCATGCAGCATTAAATTTGTTATATTTTGCCACTATATATGTATGTGTTGCTATTAACACTACATGTGATGCGAAATTATGCATTCTGCCAAATGTTGTGGTTTGGGATGTTTGCTAGAGTCCCAAAAATTTTACTATATTTTTCATGTTGTTTTCATGTTTCGTTGTTGTTCCTTTCAATATTATTATTGTTGCTATTGTCACTATTATTGTTGATATTATTCATTGTAATTATCATCATTATTGTTGCTGTTACTATTATTGTTGATTATTAATTGTAATTATCATCATTATTGTTGCTGTTGTCACTATTATTGTTGATTATTAATTGTAATTATCATCACTATTGTTGCTGTTGTTACTATTATTGTTGATTATTAATTGTAATTATCATCATTATTGTTGCTGTTGTTACTATTATTGTTGATTATTAATTGTAATTATCATCATTATTGTTGCTATTGTCACTATTATTGTTGATATTATTCATTATAATTATCATCATTATTGTTGCTGTTGTTACTATTATTGTTGACATTATTTCTAATATTATTGTAGTTAATATTATTATAATTATAAATATAAATATTTGTTGTTATATTATTATTATTATTATCATTTTATTATATTATTGTTGAAAAATATGAAAGCTACACAATACAGTTAATGACATGAGAAAGTCAATAAAAATAATTCAAAGATTTAAAGAAAATCTCTTACGAACATTTCATCCTGAAATCAAAAAACATGAAGATGACAGACTAAGCCGAGCAGATCCATATAATTTCCGAATGTGTTACTTTGTTTAGTAATTATATCAAATTATCATTTTTCTTTTAAGGATTTGACATCAAAGCAAGTTTCTGATGCGCATAAAAAGTTTGAATATTATGATAAGGTATTTATAATTCATCAATTCTTTATATTTCATTTCATTTTTGATTTATTATCATATGAAACATACATCAAAACTATTTTGATTTCTTTCATTTCTATTTTCATTTTATTTCGAGAGACCAGTTTATAGTAGGCAGGTGGATCTTAAACCTAATCACAATCTTTATATTTTTTTTAGTTGTAGTTTATTATAATAATATTTAAATTTAAGTAATTTATGTATTTTGCATTTACCATTGGTAAGCTGATCAGTGCAAATGCTTTGTTACACTCTAGGGCCCTGTATTTTGGGCCAAAACCAAATGAACCGATTTGCAATTTAATTCTAGAAGACTAAAATGAAATTATTTGATCATTGATATCATCATTAAAATTCACTATCTTATTTAAAATATCATAACAGATGTTGATGTGTAAGATTAGGACCATTTATTGCATGTTCGCAAATCTGATTGGAAATAAAATAATTTCTAGGAACATATGTCTAGCCTTGTTTTCATAAAAATTGCAACTCGCTATCGCTGACTCTTTGGCGATGCTGATTGGTCAGTTAAATCAGAGCGAGGATAGCAGTGCAAACGCTGTACTGACAGTGTAGCGCTTGTACAGTATGGAAATCAAGCTTTCGTCTCTTCTTACAAATGAAGCAGGTACTGTGACTGGCAAGAATTTGTCTTTGCATGTTTTGATTATTATGTAATTGTTTGTTATTTCAGTGTATATGTTTATGCATTGGCAGGAAAACGAGATTCATTGTCAATGTTGCATGTTGAGGACAGAAAAGTTTTATGATTATGTTATTTAATAAATTTTCTGTGTACTGTAGTTTCTAATTAAATGAAATTTGAGTTTTACCTAGTTGAAATGTTCTCTCTCTACATTAAATATACAATAAAACTTGTTGATTGTATGAAATAAATACATTCATTGTAATTATTTGCAATTTGTTGAATTCCCATTGTTTATGAAAATAATGCTATTTTGTTTGTTTTTTAGGATAAAAATGGAACCATTGACAAAGATGAATTAAGAAACCTTTTCATTGACATATTTCCACATTTTCACCGGTAAGTGTTTTATGCTCTGAACAGTAAGTGATATATTGCCAACATAAGAAAAATCTTGAAAATTAAAATAAATGTTTGAAGAGAAAGAACTCAGAATAAGTTAAATAAAAAGAAAATTAGTTTCATATACTGAATTATAACAAATATTAAAAAATAACACATAGAAAACCATGATATGATTATTAAAAGAATTTTAAATTACGAGTTGGGACAATTATGTGACATTGTAATTAATGTATCTAATGACCGAGCTACTGCAACCTACAACCATAATCAGCCCTGGTTTCGTATGGCACACTTGCCTAGGGTTCTGGAGGTGTTTAGGTCTTCTCGGATTAGGACTATAAACTGTAGGCCCAGTATACTTAATTGGCTCATGTACATCTCTTGAGATAAGTACCAGGTTAACCCGGTGTACTGGACCATACAGCCCCATAGTTACCAAGCTGAGAACCGGTGGTTCAGGCACAAAATAGACCCTTAGGAAGAAGAAATGGCTACTCTCTGTGCTGTGTTCCACGCTTCAAGCCCCTTAAGACTCTAATCTATTAATATTATTATTATTATTATTATTATTATTATTATTATTATTATTATATAACCATTTACTCTTTTTTAGAAATATGTTGGAAAGATATGTGAATGATGAGTTCAAATCAGGTGATCGTGATTTCAGTAGTGGTAAGTGCTTGTCTTCAAATCCCAGGATTCTGGGTTCAAATTCTATCAAATGATTAAAAACAAAAACATCCACTTCCTAAACCTCATAATGAGACTTAGTTTATATATTACATGATGTGTATGTTTGTTGTGTGAAAGAAATTACTACTTATGATATCCTGTATATTATTTATCACTAGTGGAGGTGTCTCCCCATTAATCTAGCACTGGGGCCCATTCGCATCTAGCTACGCCGGTGCATACCAGAGTTATTGTAATGTGCTTTTATAATAATCATTACACAATACCTTGAGAAAAACGTGTCTTTATAGGAAAATCCACATAGCTCAGTATCTGAATGGTAATTGGAAGGCCTTGGGTTCAAATCCCGGGGACAATATGTTTTTCTCAAAAATTTATCATCATCATAGTATACTGTAAGGCAGCGATTAAATCTTTGATAAATTAATGATCAGAACTAATGTACCGACTGCTTCCACTAGAAATCTATTGTTTTGGTCTTTGTCTCCACTTCCAGGTATTGACTTCGATGAGTTTTTGGGAATGTACAAGCGCCTCTTTGTTCTCTGTAAAAGTGTTGTGTCGCATGATGTCTCAGAAATTCTGCCGGGTTCTCCGAAGTCTTTCAGTAGTCCAATAAAGACAGCCAGTTTAGTAAGATTAATATTGTTTATTATTGTTAAGTAATTATGTGTAGTCAAAAGAGCCTCCTATTGTTCTTCCTTAACAAATTCCTTCCTCTTCATGAGATCTTCCTTCTTTAACATTTTCCTTCCTTAAAAACTTATTTATCCCTTCACAAGTTCTTTCCTTTTTTATAAGGTCTTCTTTCACATGTTATTTCTCCCTTCTCAAGTTCCTCCTTCTTCATAAGTCATTTTTTTCTTTCACAGCTTCCTTCTCCCTTTGCAAGCTCCACCCAATTCCCTATTCACATGGCTCAGACAGCTAGATGTGTGGTGATTCACATCTGTAATTGACTGTTTCCAAGCTGTCTTTGCCCCTTTATCTTTCAAAACTGTAGTAGTAGCTAGGGTACATTCATATTTATCATACAGTAATTGGTTTTCTCCCCTAGGATGAGCAGTCAAAAGACAGTAGCAACATGAAGGATGATGGTGCTGGGAAAAAATTGAATGGTATCAAATCAAGATCTTTATCTGGCTCAAGCCTTGAAAGTGACGATAATGATGACTCATTCTTTGACACGTCACCAAGACATTCCAAACCCACTAGGTGAGGCAATAAGAGGGTGTGACAATATGTTTATTCCCTTACCACATCGATTATTTGTTAAAAGTTTTTTCTTATTATACTTCATGACTTTAGCTAAAACAATCAACAATAGAACTGAATAATTGAATGGCTTACTATTATATTACTATTAATATACTATATTGCTATTACTATTATTACTTACTAGATTTATATTAGAAATTGGAACAAGTTTCCTTGCCAAATAACAGACAGATAAATAATCCTTTTGGCAAGTCAAGTGGGCAAGCAGTAAGCAGGGGTGCCTTACTATTGGCACTGGTTCAAGCTGCTCCCCACCCAGGGTTCAGTTGGTAGTACCAATAAAAGTCTTTTCGTATAAGGACTTAAAATAGAGGTCCAGTTTACACATCTGGCTCGTTTGTACTTTAAAAAACCCATTGTATCTTTAGGAAGAGTGGGGGGGGGGTCATTTCAAAGATTTTTCTTTGAGTCCATATATACATGACATTGACTTTTAAACTTGTTGTTTGTCCACAGTATTCCTCAACCCAAGAAGAGCAACAGTCCACCATCTACACCACCAACTAGTCCCACCACTAAGCCGAATGGATTAACCTCATTGGGAAACGCTCCACCCATTGGTGGAAGTGGCATGGGCTCCTTGACTGGGGCGCCACCATTGTCTGGATTAGGGGGAAACAGAGGTAACAAATTGGATCATAAATTAGACTGATATTGATTAAATGTAGATAATAATATGTGTCCTTATTTGATAGAAATTTATGATTAGAACCCTGGGGTCTGACATCATCTACCATGTGCAGTACACCAGGAGACAGTATCATACTGGTGAGTAGTGTAATAAGTTCTGTTCAGTACCCATGTCTTAACATCCTATCCAAAGGGCAGGGTAGTCTCTCCAAAGATACGAACAAGGACAACATTAGCAGGTTTTGAACTTGATCTGTCATGCACTGAAATCCAATCCCTTAATACTACACTAAAGCTAGGTAGTCACTTTGCCCAATGGTCATCCGCCGATACCATTCTATAAAGAACGCAGATCACAGATCATTTTTGAATGACGATCCGTTTAAGACGACCACCGAAAACCAGCAGACAGCGTCACGTCGTCTAGCGTTCACAGGGAGAGGAGTTAGATTCATTGCGCAATGGTTGACTACCATAGAACTATGCAGTGAGTGCCACGTTTCACTTTTTAAGTACTGTATATATTACATTTTATATATGATTATTCCACTGTGGGATTGTTTCAAAATGTTTTATTGGAATTTCCATGTGTTAATAATTGGTATTACTGTCTACAAGCGCATTGGCAAGGATGGTGTAAATGGGCTCCAAACCATTCTTGATGAGATTATTGAATGACAAATAACAATAATATGTCACGATTAGCTGTAAAAGAGTCAAATCTGATATTTACCCACTCCGTATTGGAGAATGTATCCTGGAACGTGTTTCAGAATTTAAACTGCTTGGTGTTATCATATCAGATAATTTATCCTGGCAGCCCCAGATTGATTATATAATCAGTAAATGCAATACTAGAATGTACTTCTTAAAACAAGTTCGTAGAGCTGGTCTTAATTCCGCTGAAGAACTTGTTAATTTCTGTATCAGTACTATTAAACCTATTCTAGAATATGCAGCCCCAGTGTGGGGTACTAATATCACTAAGCTACAAAGCCAAGTTCTGGAACAGATCCAAAAAAGAGTGCTTAAATGTATTCTTCCTGGTGTTAGTTATAATGGAGCTCGGTCTCTGCTTGAAATGCCAACATTGGAAGAGCGACGTGTTCAACTGTGTAGGGATTTCTTTAACAAAATCAAGGATTCTAATCATAGATTAAACCATTTATTACCTACAGCCTGCAATTCTAAATACCAACCTTTTGTACAAAAATACAATTGACGGGTCTTCTAATAGAAGACCCGTCAATTTACTATTCTGAAGGTCAACACAAATCGATCAAAAACATTTATAATCAATCATGGTTTGTTCCAAAATTGGTAACCTTCCCTGCACAGTCAAAACTTCCGTTCTCCTCACTTTCTTTTCATGAGGCTTTTGTGAGTTTCATCGTGTTTTTGGGAAACCATTTTTGATGTTAAACTTCAATCTCTTTTTATATTGATGATTGCAATAAAGTGATTTTGTATTTGTATTTGTACTGAGTTATTTTTAATTAATTTTCAGGTGCATCTAGCCCAGATTGGAAGGACCTACATGATATTAATAAGGAAATTGGCAAACTTAGTTACAATACTAATAAAGATGATTCCCAAGAAGATGACTATGATGATGATGATGATTATGAAGACGATTTTCAAAGGTAATTTAATTCTGTTATTTCTGGATATAGGGTGGACCTCAAACTGCTTCCCTCTCTCTCTAGCCATTGTATATGAATGTCATATACCATAGTATTGTTTATCAGTTAATCGTGACATCATTTTATATTCCACATAATTTGTTCTATATCCCTGTATGTCGTTCGTCCGTTAGTAAGAATCACAGGAGCTAGAGCTACACATTTTTTTTTAATGTAGCTTCCTTTAGCGAATAATCGCATATAATTGATTCTGATAGCTGTTATTGACTGCAACAGTCGTAGCAGGGTCACCAATGAGCAGGTTAACAGCATTACGCCCCCATTTATACTTCTTGGGGAAGAGAGGCAAACGTAAGTAAAGTGTCTTGCCCAAAGACACAAGCAATGCGACGAGCGTTGGTCTTGAACTCCCGATCTCACGATCAGAAGTCCAACACCTTACACGTTGCGCCACACATGCCCACCTGCCTCCTGCTTCTTGCCAGGAAAGCCACTGTCACCAAATAGGTGCATACCTCCTACTAAGATAATGCAAATATATAAATGACAGATGTGTGTAAGAAGTTTAAACAACCTTGTATACAAAGATGCAAGCAATATGCTTGCTCATAGCGAAGGGAAACGTAAAGTAGATAGAGTGCAATATAATTTTATTTATCTTTTTGCTTCATAAATATATAACTTATTAATTTATACACTATATATACTGTCTCTTATACACATCTAGATGTGTATAAGAGACAGGTTTAATATTGTACTTCTTATTTAAATCTATGTGATATAATATTGTACCACTGACAACAGTGGTACAATATTATATCAAAAGTAAAATTGTCCTTCTTGGTTATTATTAAGCCAGTATTAAGACAACTTTGGCTAATATTATATCTAGAAGATATTTGTTTTAAAAGAAACAATAGGAAATGATAATACACTTAAGATGAGATTGTATGAGCATTTGATTTGTTTTCCAACTGTATCTTTATCCTCATTTCTTTTTTTTGTTTGTTCTATTTTCTAATTGTTTTGATTGTTTTCTTTTTTTTCCGCTTTTGAAATTTTATATGCAGTTTGTGAATCCCAAGCATATCAGTCTCTACCGTAATTTGTGGATATTATTAGAAATAAAGAAACGAATAAATTTACTTAATTTTTTTAGTTCCCAAGGCAGTCGCAGTCAATCACAAAGCCATGGAGGACCAAGAAGCTACAAAAGCTCTGAAGCTAATAGTATTATTGAGGACCTAGAAGTACCAGAGGATGTGTCAGATGATATTGACTTTTTTAACAGCAGTCAAGAAAAGGTACCAACTGTAACCATTAATTTTTGTGGTTTTATTTCATATTTTTGTATATTTAATTTTTTTTTTCATATACAGTAATTCTATAATATATTTATTTTATATTATTTTTATTGTCATTATTTTTGTTAATGTTATTATTAATGTTGTGAATATTATGTGTGCATTGTTGTTTATGTTTGATTTGTATCCAACCATGTAATGCCTAATTATGTACATTATATCAAGAATATCATAAGTTATCTTTTTTCCTCTTCTCTTCTTCAGTTTGATGATCTAACTGCTGATAGATCAGCATCACAGCTCAGTCAAAGTGGAAACTTTGACTATGTAGAAGATGTCCAGTTTACTTCATGACAAGAACCAGCACAAAGCTTAACCTTTGATACACTACTTGCTGCCATTTCTAAAAACTAAATTATTTGTTTATTCTATCCATTTGTCATTTTTTAATATAATGTAAATAAGTCCTCCTTCTCCCCCAAAAATTAAAATGTGGTTTGCTCGGAGCTGTTGTTTTTTGGGCTTGGCTGTTGACTGCTTTTCCTCTTTATTACATCAAAAAGTAATTGAACTCAGCTAGTACACGAGGCGATTAAATCTTCTACACCAGTTATTACTAACGTTATTAATATATCATTCAGCAATCATGGGATCTTTGATGCTCCAATTTGACGTGGCATGGGGAGGGGAAAGCAAATCATATTGGACCCTTGATGCTGTATAATTAAGTAGGGGAGGATGGTGCCAGCATGGCACGAGCCCAACTGTTGGGGAGTTGCTGTAAGGTCTGTCAGAGGAAATATAATTGGAATTATTTTCATAAACCAAGACAACTGTCCTCATAGTGCCATTTTTTTGGCATCTAGGGGTGACCTAACCTTTTTTTTTCTCCTCAGCCCCAACCATGGTGGGGGTGATTGTGTGTGTGGCCCATCTTCCAATTCAAGCACAGTTATTACAGTTATTTATATCAATGCCATGAAAACCTTATTTATTGTTTATTATTATTTTAGTCTGTATATAAATCTTCTACAGAAGTGTAGTGACTTGATAAATTGATAAATATTTTGTTGAAATATATGAGGTTAGTATCGGTGTCCATTAATGTTGAATGATCAGGGTGGGTTATGAGTGTCCCCTAGATGGGTATCTACTTACAGACGGTATGTGTGTCCACTGGAGTAAAAAAGCAGTTAATATTTAGCCTGCCTCGTAACAATGTTCACAGGAAACGTTTATATTAATGAGAGAGTGATTTTTTTAAGTAAATGCCTATGTATTTTTTCCAAAGTATAGATTTTAATACTAATGCATTAACATTATAGAAGAATGTGCAGTGGGAGATTCGGAAGTGGGGCCAGTCAACCTGGGGCCAGCCGGCATGGGGCCCCCACAATTTTTCAAAATTATCTTTTAAAAGAAATTTTTAAATATTCAAATTTAAATCTGAGAGTGCCATTTCTTTTTAAATCTGAGAGTGAAAGTCCTTGCTTGGGCCCCTCTATTTATGGTAGGTATCTACACTGTGGGCAACTTTGACACTGCCATTGTTAAAAGTTTTTCTCAGTGTTTTCAATACTATATATCAGTGGTGGCGCCAGAGGGAGGCCTATCCCGTCGGGGAAGCACACCCCCTCCCCCGTTGGGGAAGACGATAGGTTTTGTCGGGGAACAAACAAATTAAAAAAAAAAATATTTACATGTAATATTCGTTTAGCCACCATTATTGTTTGTGTTACTTTTCATCACAACAATAACAATAATAATATTAATAATAATAATAATAATATTAATAATAATTCAATGAGACTAATTAAAAATAATTATGACAAATGCTCATTTAGATAGCCTCATGATGGTTTGAATACATCGTGATAGGTGAAGCAACCTTGACCATGAAAGCGTGGTTGACAGATTTCAAGCAAAATTCCCAAAATACAGAATTTCACTTAATTAGATGGCTACATTGCATACTCTTTGTTTATTGTTTCATTCAAAATGTTTTGGTTTTGGAAGCTGATTTCAACATTAGAAAGCATAGCCTACATGAAGTCATATTATAGTAACTTGATGCCTATCAAATAAGTAATAAAAATTCGCCATAATTCATCAAATATCCGTGGCGGCCCCCACCCAAGTGAGACTCAATTCGCTCCACTAGCCCCCTCCCCCGTCGGGGCCTTTAGCCCCTCCGTCGGGCATGTCCTGGTGCCACCACTGCTATATATCTTTGCTATTTGAAGAGCAACACTATGAGAAAATAGAGAACATGTAGTAGAGTTTGCCCTCTAATTCAAGACAACCTTTGGCACCTGAACATCTGGGGTGGTCTCAGTGTTTGGTATCCACTTGATGGTTAGCTTTGTTAAAAGATTGTTAGTTGGTACTTTTTAAAAAGTGGCCTTTAATTAGAGGGGTTTCGAATTGGAGGGTGCACTGTGGCTTACTTGGTCGTCAGTTCTAGATATGCCTTTTTCTAATTAAATGTCTTTGAGATCCTGATAATGTTGTTAAAAGATTGTTAGTTGGTACTTTTTAAAAAGTGGCCTTTAATTAGAGGGGTTTCGAATTGGAGGGTGCACTGTGGCTTACTTGGTCGTCAGTTCTAGATATGCCTTTTTCTAATTAAATGTCTTTGAGATCCTGATAATGTTTATGCATGGTGATGTAACAATGCATGCCTTTCTTTATGGCATGTACCCAACACGGATTATTGAGGAAAAAAATTGTAATGCACCTATCAATTGATTGATTGTTCCCATAAGAATTGTCTTGTGTATATGTTTCCACTACTTGAATACTGCATGAATTACAGGAAAATATGTGATAAATTTTGGGAAGGATTGATTAGATTTTAGTAATAGGAGCTATAGTATTTAGATTGTTATTTTTATCATCACTATCATTACAATCCTCATCATCATCATCAATATCGTCACCACCAGGAGTCCACCATCCATCCATCAATAAACATGTGCATCGCTGCAAATACTTCACTAAGGAATACTTCAACACAAAGGATCTAATCGGTGATGCAGTCACCATTCATATATTTTTCAGGTACTCTGTAAAAAATATATATGTATTTTTGCCAATACTGCCCGCCACCATAGATTAGGCTTTTTTGGGGCCTTATGCAAAGGCTTGTTTATACTTGCAACGATATAATGCAATTGTTCGTATAAAAAATATAAGGGGAAAAAGTGTTTTCACTAGGACGATTCCATGTATAAACAGGCCTTAAATCAGACGTCGTCCTCTCGAAAGAATGGGAACGTTAATCTACCGACTCATGATCTTATTTAGAAGAAAAAAAATAGCAAAGGTTGTATACAGCTGAAATTGTAGATGACATGGACTGAATGCAATTTTATAAGTGCTGTCGAAGTAGCTTAAAGCTTGGTTTTCATAAAATCTCAACAGCTGTGAGGGAAACACGGTTAATGCATGGGGCAGGCTTAATTCCATTCAATTTAGCTATGTAACGAATCCCGATTTAACGTTGGGTCGCAGTATAGTGATTGAATTGGGAATGTCAATATCGAATTTCATTAAAACGGGGCTTAAACCATGCCAATGTTTGTAAGTGACAACTGTTTCTTAAGTTTCCAATAATGAGCTGTAAATATTTTGTACAGATATTTCTGTGTACATAAAGTTGAAGAGATTTAAGAGCTACGGAGTTTATGAATAAATATGCAAAAGTCGATACCGATATGTTTTATAATTTCGCATTTCGTTTACAAAATATTAATATTTAATCACATATTCGTGTTATATAATCACCCTGTTACGTCATTTTTATGATTACTGTACTGCGTCTTTAAAAGATTCTCATTGGCAAACTTTATAGCCGTGCGTATAATTTTGATGTTGAACCAGTGCGGGTTTATACAGTAGTAGATAAAAATGCTACAGGCTTTGTCACAGCATAGAGGTACAGCCAATCAAGAAGTGGTACCGTAGCTCGAGATATTTTTAAGTGCTGGCTAAAAAACTAATGATTTCGTTTGTGAGATGTCCATGCTAAATTTACTTTGTGTCTCAATACAAACTAATACTGCCTTAATGCATTTAGACAAGCATCCCTAGATATGTCGCATCCTTCGGAAACTGGCTGATTATGTTAACTGACGTAAAAAAAAATTATATTAAAAAAAACCTGAAATCAGTTAGATTTTATGTATGAACAGGAGCCAAATAAGAAAAAATAGTTCCGTCACCAAT